AACCCAATAATTTTTTACCTCAATGACTTTGCACTTTTTGCACACATTCCTACACCAGATATATGCTTGTACATTTAAATACGACATATATTTACAATCCCAGGAGTGTATTGCATTGTTTCTGCTTTAAACCAATACAGAAAACGAAAAAAAAACAACTGCCCCATAGCCCTTGTAAATAGCTGGCTTGGTTGTTACAAGGGTTTCATAAGCACAAATAAAGAGGGCAAGCCTTTTTTTTTTGAAAAAGCACATTTAATGAAATGTAGCTTCTTCCTCAATACAAGATTGGAGGACCTTAAGCAGATTTAAATGTCGTTTGCATTATGGTTTCATTTTCAGCATTGCTAATGAAACATTGGACACATCGCCTCTGTCGTAAGCTAAAGATAAGCAAGGAACCAGTTAAGAGGGAACCAGTTAACTTCTCAGCTGCATGTGCCATGTCTGGCCATAGATAAGCCTTAAGTGAATCATGTGTGTAATACAGTTTTGTGTTTTCTTTTAATCGGGGTGCTTACTGTTTTTGTTGTACCCCATCAATCTAGAATTAACTGGTGTTAGTCGACTTCCCCTACAGTACTTCCAACCGCCGTGTCCATAGGGGAAAAAGGGCAAAGCTTTCTCCTTTTTTGCAGACTTGTCCTGTGGCTATCTGCTTCTTTTCCCACTGCAATCTCTCAGCGCAAACAGCAGATGGAATGCATAAGGCAGAAGGCTAAAGCAGGTTTTGCTTACAGCACTGGAGACTCCATGATCCATGCCACACCAGCCAGAGTAACTAGAAGGTTTCTGCTGGGCAGCTGACTTCAAACTCAGTAAGTTACAGCAACATTCAGCCAAGCACCTTAGGAAACCCGATGAATGAGCACACGATGTAGCACCTGTTTGCGCAGTTGGAGTGACCTCTTGCAGGACTCTAACTGAACACTGAAAGGAGAGTTGAACAAATTTAACTATTCATCTGTCCATTCATCCATACATTTTCTTACTGCTTCATCCAATTCATGGTCACCGGGAGGCAGAGCCTACCCTGTCAAGCAAGGAGCGCAAGGCAGGATACACTCCGGAGGGACACTAGTCCATCCCTCGGCACACATGGACACAAACACACACTAACTCACTCACACCAGGGCCAGTTTTCTCAGAAGCCAGTTAACCTACCAGTATGTCTATTTGGGATTAAATTTAACCAAATGCCTTTCCAATTCTTTTGAGTAAGCTTTAGTCAGATTCAGATTCATTATACCAAATATAAGAAAATACTGGCTATGATGGTCTCTCTAAATCTGCAATCCCCAATCCTGGTCCTCTGTGTCTACATACCTGTCCTCTGCAACCAGAAATCATGCTCTAGGTACAGAGAATATGAAAAGAATTACTCTCATCCTTCGTTTTCAGGGTTTAAAACTAAGTTGTTGGTTGTGCTTGTAATTAGATTCAAATCCAGTACACTTTGCTTGTTCCATTGGTAATTACAATTTAAATGACATGTAAGCCTTTCACAATCTTTAAAGGCACAAAACAAGACTTTCACGACAGCCTTGCAGTTTTATCAAACCTGGCTACAGCTGTACCTCAGGTTAATGTAATTAGTGAAATCCAAGAATTGTGGGATTAGATGTGTTAACTAATACAATGTTGTCATACTAAATTACTCTACCTCATACTATTTTATCTTATGCAAATAATTAATTACCCTTAGTTCCTAAGATTATATTAATCCAGGAGTCTTGGTTTTGAAATAAATGGTCCAGAGCAGAAGATCTGCCTCCAGGTTCAAGTGAAATTGAAGGTAAACAAATTAATAACACAAGACAACAAATCTGACACAAGTGACCTTGTCTCTACTAAATCTTTTCCTGGCCTTTTAACAGAAATTTAACTGAAATGGTCTTTCTCAATTGCTGATAAAATGTGTGGCACAGCAGTTCAGACCAAATTAACTTCACCTCAGATAAACTATTATTTGGCCTCAGTGTTCCCTAAACCCAGTGCAAACAAACACTGACTTCATTAAATGACTCGGCAAACTTGCAAGTACTAATTGCACCCTCTTCTGTACTTCAGCTTATAGCTCATTCCTCATAATGTACAATTTATTGTACAAGCATTTGAGATAGTGATCTGGCTTTAACCCTCTTAGGCTAAGGGAACAATAACCATCAGAACCCCCAAAGTACCAAACAGAAATCTAGGTCTACAACACAGAATGTTTAAAGCTCTCTCTATATAGTTTAACCTTTGAAAACTCTTATCAGGAGAATTGAAAATGTTTTACATTTGCATAATGACAACAATTCTACAAAATTAAAATCAGAGGCGGACAGTGAGTCATCTGTTTTGTTTAAATGAGGCACAAATTAATAATTACATGCAGATAATCTGAAGTAGACCCCCAAGAAATGCATCAATGCAGATGAAATTACAATTGTACAGTTCAGATGTGAACTGATGTGATAAAGTGAGAGAAGGGCTCTAACATGCCAGTGGCAGAATGTAATTTATCACTTCAGACATACCGGAATCTAATTTATATCAATGATCTGGATTCTGGTACATTTAATAAATGAGTCAAATTTGCAGACGATACCAATTTAGGAGGATTAGCAAACACTGTAGAAATAGTAAATGAAATTCAAAAAAATTTTGATACAATTCAAGACTGGACAAATACTTGGGAGATGATATTTAATGAAGACAAGTGCAGGGATGTGCGTTTAGGTAGTAAACACAAATTATAAACACAACATAGGAAATACTATCTTAGAAGAGGCTACTTATAAAAGAGACAGGCTACTGTTGACACATGATTTTCGTTTTCTAAAGAATTTGAGGAAGAAGTCAAAAGGGCTAACAAATGCTAGAATACTGTGTATAGTTAATAATTTAGACTTTAAATCAAAGGATGTTAGAAGTGTGTAATGCACTTGTATGGCCTCATTTACAATGTTCATTTTTCTCACAAGTTATAAAACAATATTGTAACTAGTTCAGAAAAGAGAAACCTGACACATTCCTGGGCTTGAGGGAATGTTCTACACTGATAAGCTGAAAAAACTGAACCATTTTAGTCTTGAATAGAGGATATTAGAGGAGAGGACTTGATACCAATATTTAAACTCCTCAAAGGCACTGATAAAGGCAACCCAATGGATTTCTTCAAAATGAACAGTGAAACACAAACCAGAGGGCACAAGAAGAAACTATGTGGAAGTCCGTTTAAAGCCAAGAACAGGAGGTACTTTTTTGTCAAAACGTTTATAGGAATCAGGCCACAAAGTTTCTAACTTAAAAGGATACCCAGCCACATTACTGCAATCAAGTCTCTTTCAAGAAACAGCTGGATGAGATCCTTGGATCAATTCACTACGAACAACCAAACAAGCTAGATGGGCAGAATGGCCTCTGCTCGTTTGTATCCTTTCTTATTTGGCAATGGCAAGAGGCCACTATAAGCTCTCAGTACAGCAAACTGTAAATACAAGAGGAGAGCAGAACAGTGTGGGAACAAACAATTACAGAAACAGGCTGAAACACTTGTATCTGGCTACAAGTGTTTATGATGCATACCAAATTTATGAATTGCTCATCTTTTAATTTAAAAAACATTGTGCCAATTTCCTTTTTTTTTCCCCATGGGAATTTGGTTATTGTGGTCAGAATCTCGACGTCTCTTACCAATGACACAGCAATATGAAAACTGAGGCGGCTGAGCTGGCTACAGTAGGCAGAAATGCCATCATGCCCATCAAGGTCTTATGTTTCTACAGTATGTGGTAGACAATACCAACTGCTGTGCAAGCTTGTCAGGTGAGATAGCTGCTGGATGCCAGTCTAACAATGAAGTCGGAAGGTTGCCAAGGGATCTTTGCACTTGATGTGATGTCAGCATTATCCCTGGAAAGCAGCAACTCAATACAATGCTTGCAGTGCACGTTGCCTTGTACTGTATAGCACAAAAAGATTTCTCACTCATGCAAACGCATCCCTCTCCCAGCGTATTTAGGAGGCACAGCGATTTTCTCCTGGGCAGTCTCTCCTTTCAGTCTGGATTGTTTCCGAATTGCAGAGATGTGAACACCTACTGAGAAATCCTCTCTGAGACTGAAGAACATGCTGGGAAAAATAACTGCCCAACTGGGGCAATAAAAAGCTGGAAACAAAGCCCTCTTCAGTTTGATTGGTATTGAAAAAAGTCCTATAATACATCACACAATGCCTTATATTACCAAGCTGGAGTCTATTCTTTTTTCTTAGGGCTGTACTCACCATGTGGAAAGGTACAGTTTTTAGTTTGATAATTAAAACAATTTATGGAGAAATCACTGCTTATAGTGATCAAGCCATGAAGCTACTAATCAATTAACCAATTAATAGTTAATCAATGAACTCATTAAGAAAGATTTTATTGTGTCACAATTGTTATTGAAGGCATCTTTGTAGTGCAGGCTGAGAGATGTTGAAGGAGATGAATGCCCTTGCTAAGCATATCCTGATTTATTGCACAGAATTAAGAGAATCAAACTAGTGCAGTAGCTTCGCAATAGCATAGGCAGTAACGGGATTGGGTCACAGTGATAAATACTAGAGGCAGAAGGATATTTTTAAACTTAAAGATTGAACTGAGATTGAGCTCCTAAGGCTGGGAGGAGATATGGGTATAATCGTGAGTAACACTAAGGCATTGTGTCCCACAGTGCACTGACTGCAAAAGGGTGTTTGTTATCCGTATTTATACTTGGCAGGGTTTTCATTATAAAACTCAAAAATTGCTTATCACTGATGATAAGCATCATCCACATGCAGAAATCCACGTTTTGTCCACATGCAGTTTATTTTGTCATGGAGCTTATTGCTTTCGCCTGTTGTAGAATTATTTGGGGACATTAAGACTATTTGCATGAATAGTGGGATGACTTGGTTGTGTTACGCAGTATTTGTGTTTTCTAGTTTTTATGGTGGTAATGTTTTTAAATAAAATGAAAAATTACATAAAATGATTTTCTCTTAGCATGTACTTTATTGATTTTGTACTTTTTTCACCACTGTTGCAATGCACAAAAACTGAAGATGAACATGCCATGCTGATTGTTGCCTACAATATATACATGTGATTCAAAAACCCTATTTAGTTGTAGCTGGTACGGATTACTCCTTTTACAAAAAAAAACAAACAAAGTAATTTAAGCTATACAAATAAGTTCTACATAGACCAAATAAGAAAATCCGAGATGTATCTATAAAATGGGTCGGGTGACTTCATCTCTTGGCTGTTCTTGGCCGCAGTCTTCTCTTGATGATCAGATGGTCACTTTCCTTTTCATCGCGATCAAGCCCTACAATCTGTAATGTGACAGAAATTAGAATCGTCTTTTCTGATGCAGTCAGTTCTCTTCTATAAAAGATTCAGTAGAGACACTAATCAATAGACAAAGTCCTCATCTAACACAACAGTAATTAACACTGAAATTAAGACCTTTGCACATGTACCGTAGACCTTAAATGCACTTAAGCTGGAAAAGTCTATCTCTTGTACTCACTAGTGATTATTTAAATTTACATCAGTGATTAATACAATAGTGATCATTATTTCATTTTTATTATGTCAATTAGAATCATATCTGTATAATAGGTAACATTACTGATGACTGATGACACTTTTATCCACAGCAACTTCCATTTTAACTCGTTCACATAGCTGGGTATTTTACTGGAGCAGTTTGGAGGAAATACATTGCTCAATGGTCCCTTACCAGTGTCTCACCTGGAACGTGAACCCTTAACCTTCCTGTTCAAGGCCAGAATACCCTGATCACATTACTGCCTCAGATACGTTTTAGGTATTCAGATAATTACAACTTAACTCCAGTCTAATCTTTCCACATTAGTTTTGCACCGCTGATTTATGAAATCAGGGAAGCTAAATAGCAGATTTCATGATGCAGTACATAAATAGAATTCGATTTCAACTTACAGATGAACATTATTCTGGCTCGTTCACAAAAAACACACATAGATCAAGATTTTACACATTTGTTTTAACTGATCTCTTCAAATTCTTTTTTTTTAAATGTAGGAAGTTTTCTAAATGCAAAAAAAACTAAGAAATGTTAAAAATACTACTTACTGGGTGAGAAGGGATATCTAAAGGAGATGAAATCTCAGTTTTATATAGTTTTCTTTTCGACCTTTTTGGTTTGCTGTCGAGAGGTCCTAATTCTGGCTCTGGAGATCTAGAACTCAAGGTTCCAATGAGTTTTTTAGCTATGGAAGGAAAAAAAATAGAAATATAGTTTCAAACTAGTTTTTACAAAAACAATAACAGTATTAATCCATATAAAAGCTTCACTGATGAGCTTTTCTAGCTAATGCTTTCAAGAAAAATAAATGTACAGCTAAAAAATAACTTTTACCTTGCTTAAACACAGCTCAAGGGCCTACAACAAATCCCAAAATATCAAACCTTTGTTTTGGAGAAAGGTGGGGGAGCTCTGGATAAAGTCTCCAATTTTCTGTAAGGGTCCATCTTTTTTATTTGCAGATTTGAGGCTGGAGCTGGACACTTGCTGCATTAAAGAAGCTACATTTCTGTTTGCAGCTGGTGATTGCTGAGCAATAAGACAAAAAATAGACAAATGACTAAAATCCAAAAAAACACAATAAATGCTTCTTCCCTTGCGTGTTTACCGAGTTTAGAAATAATGTTCCCCCGAAGCCTGTAGTGCTTTTCGGTGTCCACAGGCAACACAGCTGGGAGTATACTGAGATTATCTACAGTTTGGTAAAAGTTCAAAATGGAGACCAACCTCTTTCACATTTCTGGCAATTGTTCTTGTTCTGCTGTTTTTCCTGTTTTCACTTTCCACAAGGTCCTGAAAACAAAGACAATTCATGTTCTAAGAGTTAGGCCTTAGTTAGAAGATGTAGCAAACCAAATTTATTAAACCAACTGCAATCTGAATTACGACTGATACAGGTACTGTATATTCACATGCGGATAATGACTTGTGAAATGGTGTTAGGGCTGTTTTTAAAAGAAAATGGGAAAGCAAAAGGATATTCCCTTCTCTCTACTACAGAATCCAGATTGAGTATAAATCTACAGAGATGAATGGCATGTTTTATTTAAATAGTTGGTAAACAACAAATGTTTAAAAAACAAATCATGAATCCTTTAAGAATGCTTTAACAAAACTTTTTAAAAAAACAAAATTGAAAACTGTTGTTCTTCACACTAGAGAAGCACAACCCTCAATATGAATGAGGGTGGTGTCATTTAAAACAATCTAATCTCCAACTGGCAAGATAAAAACTCCTCTAAAACTATCTTAAATTTGGCTTGCCAAAAAAGGTGCAGAATAATGACGGGGTTAATACGGAACCAACCTTTAAATAAAACTGGGAAGACAGAATGAACAGACAAATGATGGGGGTTCAAATAAATGTAAATTCACTCAAACCTCATAGAATGCAGAAAAAGACCTAGATAAAGTTAGGATTTGCACATTTGCCCATGTATTGCTTGCGTGTCATAATGTCCCCAAACTTTTCTCTTTAGAGAAAAGGATGTGGCCAATGACTTTTTGAGAACCACCCACCCCCAAGAGAGGGGGAACTATCTATCTTCTAAAGGCATTACAAGCATGGAGGAAAACCAATTCTGACGTTAGGGAATACCTGAGAAACGATTTCATGTGTTGCTTTCAGGTTAGTTTTATTTTTCCAGCAGCCTGAAAGTATATCACTCTTAAAAAGAAAGGGGCAAGTAAGGAGATTAATAAGAACTTGCATCTTACACATAATTTTACACAATTAACTGGCTCAGCGAGTCAAAGCTTTGTTCAGGAATGCAACGTGACACAGCAATTTCTAAATGTTGAAATGAACATTACAGCTAAACTGAAATGAAAGCTTTAATGATTGTTTTGATGAGACAGAACTTCACTTGTTCTAAAGCACATTGGAGATAATTTTTTACTTTTAGATTGCATCTTGAGTAAAGGTTGAATAAAACAATTACACCCCACACCCCCACACCCACTATTCTTTGGGTTCCTGATATTTTTGGTGGTTTCAAACTTCTTTTCAAAATCTTAAATTCGTTCAAACTGTTCTGTGCCAGCAGGGATGGATTCCAGTAAGTTACTTTTTAACAACAATCTGAAAAGTAAAAACAGATTTTAATGGTGCAAATTAAGACTTCCATTTTTAAAACATTACCATTTCCATCTCATTGCTCTTCCTTTTCCTTGCTGATTTGCCTAGTTTGACTGTCACTGCAGAATCTTCACCCTGCATTTTCACTTCCATCTTATTAGGACGAAGAGGGGTGAACTGAATCTCAAGTTCAGGTTTTGGAAACCTGCTAGTTCTCCCACTCTCAGAGGAAATTCCAGAAGAGTCCAGAACAGATTGGTTGTTCCCCAAAGCCTGTAAATCAAATCCCAAAATAGCAGATTAAAAAAAATATATACATTTATTGGAGAGGAACCCAGTTTTTCAAGAGCACGATTTCCTTTACAACCATAAGTTTGCAGCCCTTGACTATTTTTAGTCAACAGCTGTACTACAGCAGTGTGGTTTCTGACAGAAACAGTAAACAATGCACTATACTCATCTAGAGCTCCCACACAGCAACTACAAGGCAGCAAGTTTCTACTCAGCCTGGGTTCTCCAAGGTGCTTCTCTCAGGACTGTAAACAGGTGTTAAAGGATCTTAAGAAGGTTGTTCTGGAGAGGAGGGGAGAGTGAGGGGATTCAATTACTGAAACTCAGCCAACCTTGCAGATTAAGGTTCAGACTAAAAGTACTGTGCAGTAAAACAAAATTAGGATTAACAGCTACTACAAATACTCATTAGAAGGATGTGATTCTTTTATGTTAGCAGATGAATGGCCTCCACTAAAATTGGATATTAATGATGTTCTGACTGTAAAATGACAAATAACTGATCATGTAGCATTAAAGTCCATATTTATCTGACTCTCGGTTATGTGAATTGAAACAAACACCCACATTCAGGTCATCAGCTTCTGGGTTAACGATCATGGACTCTTCAAATGAGACAATAAAAACGACATTGCAAAATTCATGTTTGTAAACAGAGTGTATAATCAAATACAGTTAATATTGCAAGTAAAAAAAACCCCTTAAATTACATTAATAATAAAAAATGTTATAAGCACTTTTAAGAAAATTCAAAAGTACTAGAGTTCAATCCTACCTTTTCCACATAAAGCAAAGATTTACCCAGAGTTCAACTTACATTCTACAATTATCATGCTAATGTAAAAGGCTAATCTCTGTTGGACTGCACTGGGATTTCTTTCAAAATGAAAATGAAAATTTACATAGCTGAAATACTGCGTCCACTCACCTTTATATCCTACACTTCATATTAGAGAGTGGAATGTCAGTTGATAAGTACTTTAGGCCTTGATTTTACATTTTATTGGAAAGAAATTACAGTGCAAGAAATTAAATGATCATCTCGTAATTTGAAATGGTGGAAGTGCTTCCAAATCTTTGTGAATCAATAAAGTCAGATCTCCATTATCATGCTACAGTTGGTATACATCAGATCTGCATGTAGCAAGGACAAGATCAAAATATTGACAAATTTCTGACAGACCAGCTGGAATCATGAAATAACCAGACTGAAAGAGTTGATAATGGTGAATGGTGGCCTTGTTGTTATTCAGTTTGTCAGAACAGAAACAAGGGAAAGCTCTTGTTAGAAAGGGAGATGTAAGAGAAGCACTGGGAAACTGTGTTAAACTGAGGTCTTAAAATCTTGGTCATTGAAAACAACATTACTCTATTCGTAAGAGTATAAGGTGTTTAACCACAGTGTATTGGCTAAATTCCAATCGTGGCCTATACAATCTAGCCTCACTAAATTCAAATTGCAGCAGCCAAGCAAGCAAGGTGGGCCCAAACCACGTCTTGATGTTTTAAATGAGATAGCAGATATATGCACAGGGAAACAGGTTGGTATTATACAATTAAAGTATTGCATATATTAGTAAAATTACTTCACCCTTCAACTCACAACTAGCAACCAACTGGAGCTAACTGGGTGTGAGCCTGGTCAGTACCTGGATGGGAGACCTCCTAGGAAAAACAAAGGTTGCTGCTGGAAGAGATGTTAGTGGGGCCAACTGCGGGCGCTCACCCTGTGGTCTATGTGGGTCCTAATGCCCCAGTACAGTGAGGTGGACACTATACTGTAAAAAGGCGCCGTCCTTCGGATAAGACGTAAAACCGAGGTCCTGACTCTGTGGTCAGGTCATTAAAAATCCCAGGGCGTTTCTGTATGTGGCTAATAAAGTGATCTTATCTTATCTTTGAAATGGCTTCATTACTTTGCTCTCCTCCACTGATAGCTGATGTGTGGTGAGCGTTCTGGCGCACTATGGCTGCCATTGCATCATCCAGGTAGATGCTGCACATTGCTGGTGGAGAAGGGAAGTCCCCATTCCCTGGAAAACGCTTTGAGTGGATTGTCCAGAAAAGCGCTATATAAGTGTAAGCAATAATTATAAATTATTATAACATTTTCACCTGTTGTAAAACACTATGCTGTTTTATAAAAAAGGAAAACCAGAAGTAAATATCTCCGATGCACCACTCACTTACCTCGCTTTCTTCCGAGCTACTAGTATTATATTTATTGCTACTTTTCAGATTATTCCCATCCTGGAAAAGCATGGAATTAGTCTTGTTAGCACTCTTTACTTCTCCCTGTTATGATAAAAATAAAAAAGAGGTTTGAGAATTGTCTCCTGCAGGTTCAAAAATTATTTTAAACTCATTTTAGGCCAGCATCCAATACATCACCATGGATGATTGGGACAATTAAAAACTGAAACTACTTTTATTACCATCTTACCAGTTTCTGTAATTTTCTGTCAGTTTCTGCAGGTTGAAGCTTTGAGTTCGGTTCCGTTAAAATTCTTAACTGTTCTTTAAGTTTAGAAATTTCTGACTCCTTGTCAGTCAAGATGCGCTGAAGGTCTTCAATATTTGTACCATTGCTGGCCTGTGTTATGTACAGAAATACATGTAAGATTCTTTAAAGGACTAATGAGCATGCTGCTTACTGTTGGTGTGCCAACTAAACGTAACTGCAAGGACAAAATCCAAAGAAGATGAGAACGTTCAGCTTATGTAAGAGAGGAGACATTTGGCCTATTTAACCAATTTTGCCGATTATATAAGAAATTCAACATAGAAGACTTAAATAAAGTAACCTTAACGCTTTACAACACTATACCCTCTCGAGTTGTTTTGCTCTTGCACTACATTGACACAAAATTTTCAATACGGTCAATTTGAATAGGCTTGAGTTTCAACCACCTCAGACTAAGACTTAACTGAAGGCACCAGCTGGCTGCCTCACTACAGTGTAAAAAGCTACACCAACCTTGCCTGCCATAAAGGTGGCATCTGCTCTGAGCTTCTCCAGCTCGTTGTCTTTCTGTTGATTACTGAGGATGAGGTTTCTCAGCTGGACATCGAGAGCTTCAACCAAATCATCCCTCTCTTTCCTCCACCTTTCAAGGTCATTATCCTTCTCAGCCAGCTGTTTCCTGAGGCTTTCCTGTAAAGCAAAAAATAAAAACTTTTTCCATTGTTTTTTGTACCCCTCTGGAGTCAAAGCCATTGTTTCAACACAGGTAGGTTTTAGCTAAAATCTAAAACATATTCTAATAGTAAAGCAAAAATAAAAATTCAAAACCAACTGACTTTGTTTTGCAGGCATTTTGTACTAGACAGATAAACTCATGGCAACTATGTCATACATTTTTTGCAGAAAATAAGTGAGAGGCTCCACTTCCCATGATCTGCGACAATGAGCCATTAAAGAACAGTACAAGCTAAAGTACGTCTGTCACTCAGATAGGAGAACACAACCAGCTACCATTTCCATCTGCTGTTTGGAATAGCGCTCCCGGTCCTCAGCAAATCTTTTTACATCATGATTTCTTCTCTCCTCAGCTTCCTTTGCTTGTTTGATTAACATGAACTTGTCTTCCTGCCACTTCTTTCTGTCGGCCTGGTATTTCTCATTTGCAATCTGGGAAAATCAGAAATAAGAAGAAAACAGTGCCTACTAAAACTCAAATCATAAATGGACATCACATAAAAAGGTCCCTTTCCACTGCAGAAATAATTACTAGAAAAGACGTATTTATTTATGCAGTTTCTATTAAAGCTTCTCCCTAAAAAATTGACCTGTCTAAACTTCTATATATAGATGCACGTTAATACTGAACTGGCAGACTGCTCCCCATCAGTAATCCTACACATGCACATTTCATTCAAACTCGTACCTGAAAGGTTTCTTTTAGCTTTGTAACTTCCTGTCTTGCAAGCTCAGCATCACTGTTGTGTTCGTCCAGGTTTTGGGCAGCCATCCCATCCAATTTATTCTGGTTGAATTTATTTTTCATGTTTTCCACTTCTAAAGTTCAAAAGAGTGATAAAATAATTACACAACAGTAAACTCAATTACCAATTCAGCCTACTTATTCCTGGTATGGGCACACACATACGCATACACCTAGGGACATTTTCAATTTCAAGACTGCAATTAACCGAGCCTGAGGTATTTGGAATGTGGGAGGCTCCTGGAGAAAAATGACGCAGACGCCGTAAGAACACACAAACTCCACACAGAATCAAACCACAAGAGAACACAAAATCTAAAGAACTAATCGCCCCTGCCAAACACAAATGTAAAATGTTAACAAAACTGTTATACACAAAACTAAAATGGTAACTGTCATAATAATCCACCTGAAGTTAAAGATTCAATCTCCTCCATTTTAGCTTCAAGGACCCGATCTTGCTCTGCCTGAGTCTCTTCCTGCTCAGTCAGTGCCAGACGCATATCTTCAATAATCTGTTGCCGTGCCTGAAGATCTAATAAGAAAATTGAAAGAAATCTCAAAATCACCTTAAAAAAACTTGAATGAGCTGAATCATGTTTCTTAATATATAGGAAAAAAAGATTACCTTTGCAAGCCTTCTGGTAAAGCTCCAGGTTTTGATCAGACTTCACTGTGGCATTAGACTGTTCCTGTAAACAAACAGTTAGGTAAAATAAGAGCAACACTTCTACAAAATAGCACCAATGCATCTTTGTATAAAGTAAGGAATAGGAGGTACACTGATAATCAAGAAGAAGGGTTACAGGATGGCGTAAGATTGCTTTTCAAACACAGTTTTCAAAAAATGATCAGGAGAGAATTCACAATACTACGGTGGTGGAACCAGTGATCACAATGTCGTCAAACCTGAGACGTACTAAAATTCTAGACCAGGTCAATTAAACACCAAGGCACTGAAATTGAGGATCAAAGAATGGATCTTTAAATAGAAACTTCACTAATGTCTTTTCTAATAAAGCTGTCACAAATATGCAGTTCTACAAATAATACAAACATATCCACGGGAGACTCTGAAATAGCAGAAACTGAGTTATTAGTTGTTTATGCTACAGAGACATAATTGCCTCTTAGCTTAATCCCAAATTAGAAGAAGTTATTCATTACCTTCTGGGTATATTTTGTATCATTTTTAACCGTTCAGTGTTCATGATTAAATTATAAAAATAAAAAATACATTTAAATTTGGCAACTTAATGATATTATTGGAGACGGTAAACTTTAATTCTTGAGTTTAACAAATCCAGAGTTTAAAAAAAGAAGCCACAAAAAGCACAGTCATTTTTATTGCTTCTAGTCATTTTTGTGTATCTGGATTTTCAGCAAGCCTTAGACAAAGTTCCCCACACAAAGCTTACAGGCAGATGTATTCAAAACTGACTAAAGAATAGGACATAGAATAAAATTAAGTATATAGATTGGGACAAGCGGCATCTCACTGCACCCAGTGCTGAACCTCATTTTGATAAATGATATTGATCAAGGAGTCAGTAACATATTAGTCAAATTTACTGATGATGATATACAGCTTTGGGGGATGGCCAACACAATGCAGTTAAGTAATTACAGGAAGATTAGAATATGAGCTGACATGGCAAACTTAAGTTCAGCAAATATCAAATTTTTGTAAGAGAACGAAATACAGCACTACAGCACTGGGCATAATTATATCACAGGAGGTGCAGTATTTCCGGGTACATAGTGGTGTGGAAAAAGGGGGCCGAATCGCCACACTCAGCATATTGGTAATTCATTGCTCAAAAAGACAACAGGAATCTTGTTTTACTGCAAATTAATGCAGCCTACAGATCAGAGAGGTTATGCTGAAACTGTATATGTTTGATGAAAGTTGGAGAACTGAATACAGCGCTGGCTGCCACTTTACAAAGGGATCAAGTGGAACTGGAGGAATTCCAAACAAACAGCTTTGGGCATGAAGGTGTGTTATGAGGACAGGCTGGAGGAACACAATCTATTCTGTCTCACTCCAAGACATCTCAAAAGGCATTCGATTGGGGGCTTTAAAATGTTAAAGGCAGTCAATGAGGTACAGTAGATTGGTTCCAGTATTTATTTCAATTACAGTGACTAGAGCACAGGATGATAAACTGGTTAGAAGACAATATGCACCAATATTAGAAAGGTTTTTTCACAGAGAGATGGGACGTATAACAGGGACTGGAGGTGAAAACTATCAAGTATGTGCGATGGATTCTCTCAGTTTACAGGTAAAAGTTGAACCCTGATGAACTAAATGGCCTTCTCTTGTCATTCCCATTTCTTATGTCATGGAAGAAACAAAGGACAATTGGCACTATCCTATGTGTAGAGCAAAAGGATTGACACTTACACTCTTAAAAAGTTGAATTGTCTGATCCCTGCTTTTCAAATCATTCATCATTTGGTTTTTGCTCTTCTCCATTTCACTCAATTTTTGTTTCAGGGTTCTATTTTCTTCACGCAGTGTAGAAATCTGTAAGGAGAAAAAAAGTTCCTTCTCTATAGCCATTATATATGTATCACAAGAGAGCAAGAGAAAATGCAGTGTTTTAAATCTAAAAATATTTCTCTTGGATATCCTTCATTTTTAAACACCTTCGTTTTTATAATTTCAGTAAATAACATTATATACTGAAGCATTCACAAGCTAAACCAAGCTGAACCAAAAGTACAAAGTTTCTGAATTAGAGGTGTAACGCCTTTTGGGGAAACCTGTTTAGGTGTTTAGGTTAAGGCATTAAGATGAAAGCAATGGTCATAGAACAGCTAAAGCACACCTACCTCTTTTTCCACCTGCTGTATTTGTTTTTTGGCATCAGCCACCTTCTCTTTCAAATCCGATGCATCCTCCTCTTTTCTCCCTAAGTCCAGATTTAAACTCTTGATTGTTAGCAATTTGTCACTCATCTCTTCCTTTAACCTGTTAAGAAGAGAAACATTTAAATTTGCGTATTGAAACTAAGAAGGCTATAAAGACACTTTGACATTCAGTGCTTATTTTTCAGCAAGGTCAGAAATACAGTCACTAAACTGCATTAGAAACTCATTTCTTGTTTTCTACTGAAGAATTCAGCATTATGCTCTGTCACCGTTATAAAACAGTCAGAAATACTTATTGCCCGCTTAAGACTTCACTAGCGACTGTTAATTATGACATATTTTATCCTCAACTTTAAAGTTCAAAACAACTGCATCTTACCTGAGTAATTCTTGCTCGCTCTTTCCCAATTGTGTGTCCTTTTCTGCAATTGTTTCTTTGGCCAATCTAAGGCTTTCCATGCTTTGCTCAGCCTCCTTCAGTTTGGCTGCTTGAAGAGAGAGACTTGACGTGGCACCTTTGAGTTTACTTTGAGCTTCCTCTAAACTGCTTTGCAACTCTGCAATCAAGGACTCTTTCCCTGACAGCTGTTGCTCCAATGCAACTACTTTGTCAACATTGGATTTTGAAACCTGCAACTGCTCCTCGAGATCTCTTATTTCTCCTCTGAGATTAACAGAAGTGGCCTCAAGCGCAGAATACCTCTGCTGTATCTCAGCGACGTGCCGTCTTTCAGATTCAAGCTGTTTTGAAGCGCTTTCAAGTTGGTCTCTCAACTGGTTCACAAGATCTTCTTTTGAATTGAATTCAGCATTGGCACTGTTAACGCCATCAAGCTCTCGTTTCAACTGACTGGACAGCTGGTCTTGCTCAGCAATTTGCCGTTTGAATGTACTGACCTCCTGCTCGAGATCCACAATCTGCTGGCTCTTGAGTGCCGACTCCTTAACCACTTTCTCACATTCTGCACGCAAAGCACCGATTGTATCGCGGAAATGGCCACTGTCCCTTTTTGCTGCCAAAACCTGCGATGCTTCCAGTTCGTGTTTAAGGCGCTCTGTTTGATTCGTGAGGGATTCCACCAGCTGTAACTTCTCATTGAAATCGACTTCTAGTTTCCTCAAGAGATCTTTAGTGTCACTCAATTCTGCAGAAACCTTTTCAAACTTCTCCGTTTGCGCTCGCACTGCGTCCTCCATGTTTTTAAGGAGGACCTCTTTTTGTGTGGCTTCTTGCCGGAGATCGCTCATCTCATTTGCCACCTTCTCTTTTTGCGCAGCGATCTTCTGGTTTTCGTCTCTTTCTTCTTGCCAAGCCGTCACAGTGGCTTCATAAGAGCTGACCTGCTGCTGCAGATTATCACTTAACTCTTTGACCTTTTGTTCAGAGCACAAAAGTTGATCTTTTATCTTCTGGGTTATCTCATCTTTCAGCTTTATTTCCTCCTGGAAGTGCCTCCTAAGGCTTCCTAACTGCTGCTGCAGTTCGTCCACTTTAAATTTAAGTTTTTCCACCTCCATTTCCTTCAGATTAAGTTCTGCCTGGAGCTCATCCATTTTAGGAGTTGCGACGCAATGATTTTCCTCTGGAAGAGGACCTAAGGAGGAGAGAGGCAGGCTGGTGAAGGGTTCTGTTGCAGAAAAGTTCAATTTGGTCAGCTTCTAAACATTTGTATAATGGCCCTCAACATTATGGAATAGCAGTCTTGATTCAGGTCTACTCATTCATGTTTAAAACATACATTTCAGCATAAACTACTGTACTGTTCATTAACGAAAGAGGAAAATGAGACTTGTACATTCCTACAAAATTAAATTCAGAGCAGTTACAATTGTGCTTGAAATAAAATTTCTACCTTTATTAAAAGGAAACAAAACTTTGGAAAAGCATATTAGTTCAAAACTTCAGACACCTTAAAGTAAAAAAAAGTCCATATGTTTTATGGGAAAATGAGCTTCTTTACAGTGTGAATTACAGTGAAAGCTGTGAAAAACCTTAATGTACGAAAGCTGTAATGCCACAGCTTTTGATTAAGTAGCAGTAACGTACAGTCTGCTTAAAGTCAGAAATTTGTACATTTGCACAAACTCTTTTAAACCATAAAAGTTTCACTTTCTAGATCCTGTCAATAAAAATTTTGGCTTAGTCAGATGCCTTCATACACATGGCAACAGGAATTTGTGCCTGTAAGGTCACCCACTAGGAAAGCTACTTAAATCTACCATATGGTCATTTAGGAGTAGAGGACGTACTGTGAAGGACATCATCCCCAAGAGAAATAGTCAATATTATTGACTATTTTGAAAAGTTTTATTGCAATGGGGAAAATGAAAATCACCATTGTCAGTTTGTTTATTATGACCATTTAACTTTTGCAAATCTTTGCAGTCCACAACTCCAACTGGTCTTAAATCATCTCCTGGGTATTTATGGACAGCTGGTGTGTGTCTTTAGGCATTCATTCCAGCTCATTTCCGAGTGTGAAAGTCAGCTTGTTTGTTTATGCTTAGAAATATTAAACAACCTCTAGATTTTGAAGTGTCTGGAGTTTAAAAAGACCTAGAAATCCTGCAGAATGGCAGCTGTCCTATCTCAAGCACTACATACAGAGCAACATCACAGGTAAATGCCAGCTCCATTGGCATTATTCTTAAGAAAGTAGCGTTTCTAGCAAAAATCAATGGTTTCAATTTGGATTCCAAAACATATGTAACTTTTTGGCACAAAAACAGTGGATATGAAGACAAGGAAACATTTTTTGCAATAAAACCTTTAAATTTATTTGAAAAATATTTCCATCTTGAACGGGAACCTTACAAACTTCACGATGTATGACATAGCCAACCAGTGGTTTTAAAGTAAGTCTTTCAAAAACACAAATTTGAAATTAACAAAGGCATAAGCTATTTACATTAAAAGTATTGCAATGAGTATAGACATTCCATGAACAGAGGGTAAATAAATTAAAAACATAAAACACTGTTTTTGACAACAATGGGGACAAATGCTTAATTACAGCATTAATGGAAAATGCAGACATCCCATTGAACAAATCAAAGAAACAAGATATTCCCTTTCGTTAAAAATATTCAATTACATTGTGATTGATAGAAACCGTGCTTTGATTTGTTCTGTAACAAGGACGTTTCAGCCTCTTGCTCCTCAAATACCAACGTCTTCTGTAACAAGTCTGAAAGGTACCCCTCCCAGTCCTGTGGCTGGAACTGAACAGGTCACAACAGCTATCCTTGTACCAGTCCTTGAGAGCTATTTGAAACTCCACATTTTGGCTTAATTTGGGGTTTCAAAGGCCATGGCTGTAGACCAGAGCTGATAAAGCTTTCAAGGTCGCAGCCCCCCTATACAGTGAAACCTGTGGCTCTCAAGAACAGGAGAATAAAATCCCTCCCTTCTTAAAACTTCACCAACCAAGTGTGTCTTGAGCTCAAGGCTTGGGAATACCTTACTGCTGGCTTCAACACACACACACCAAACCATAAAGTGCATTTTATTAGGAGTTATAACACGACAATCATATCAATACAGAAGTTTAAAAAGCAGTGAAAAAAAAAATCCATCGTTATTAATATATTGAACTACCGAAATACTGATAATCTTTTCTTCAAGACACGAAATGTTCGCCCTGTGGTGCCATTCTTTCTGTTCCCTGCCTTATGCCCTACAAACTGTGGCTGAGTTTTAGCATCATTTAGTGCAGAGCCTGTACCTTTCTTGAGAGGCGGCTGTCCCTCCGGATCAGGAAAGGCAGCACAAGGTCTCTTTCTGCTCTCATTCCCAGAGCTCGGATTGTTGGCGCCGGAGCAGGTGCAGTTAATTTTCAAGTTCAAGATCTCTTCTTTGATAGCGTCAGTTGAGGTTTTCTATTAAAAAAACATTGATAAGTGATAAGATGTTTGCTAATTGAGTCAACATGTTTTAACACAACCAACAATAAAATGATTTGCATACTACAATGTCTTAATACTATGAAGTGTTGAAATATGCATCTTAGATACAGATCTTAATCTTAAAGAAATTCTGTAATAAAAAGATTGCAGAAGTACATTTAGATATTTTGTAATCTATTATGATCCATCGAATTAATAGTCCGGCTAGCTTTTCCTGACAAAACGTCAAGACTGATTGATTACATGCATAAACAGGTAAATGGGCATCATTCATTTAAATCCCATTGATTAAACACTGATGAGGCACCACGATATTGCATTCACTCCTGTTTAATATCACTTAGTTTTGTCAAAGCTTTGATTTATTTTTGTTGAAATATGTCAGGATGACAAAATCATTATACAATAAAAATGAACATAAATGCTATCATAAAATATTATGTTAATTTATCAAGAACCTTCCCAAAAGCCTTGCTTTAGAAAAAATCATAATCCATCACCCAAATTACATTAATTTTACAAAAATAATGACTTACATTCTTTGCAACCGTTTCTTCCCAGTGGTCTAATGCAGTCTGTAGTTTAGAGATCATCTCATCCTTTTCCTGACAGATCTCCATAAGACCCTGTAGTTTTTCATTCTGACACTCTAGGCTCTAAAGCAAAAGGAAATGTCTTAAATTAGCAAAACGTATTTAAGAATAGCTTGGCTACAAGTTTTAGAAATGTTACAACAGTTTATTTTGCGCTCCGTTTTTTGACACGGCTACAACAAAGCATCACAATGCCTCGGGAGACCACTTTACCTTTTCCCATTAACAGTCTTGAGACAATGGTCTCTTTTGTAATCTTATAAATCAAATGCTTAATTATCACATTCACGTTTGCAATGTTTTTGCCACAGAATGACATTTTTCTGCATTGGAAAACTTTAAAAAACAAAAACATTGTTACAGATTTTGATATTAACCATACAGATTCCTGTTAACTATATATGCACAACATCAAATAAAGACATCTTACCCTTTTGGCTTCTTCCAGCTGGTCATTTGTTTGATTGCTGAAGTAGGCTTCCACTTCTGAAACAGCAAGCAGAGACCCCCCAACTGTGGCATTGTAGTCAATTCAGCTATGCAGCTATGAGGAAGTGCACTTAAGGGCAAAACAGGAGGCACTTTACACAAAGGGCTGGGGAAGCATGGAACAAACGAGCCAATCAAAAGGCAAAGCTGAAATTTTGATTTCCTTCAAGGAACAGTTGGAAGAGATTCACTACCAAATGAGCTAGATGGGTCAAGTGGCCTCCTTGTGTTCAGAAAACTGCAAGTAGAATTCACAAGAAGACAAACAAAAAAATACCTTTGGTTTTCAGACTAAGGAGCTCTTCGGTTTTATTCTTCTCCTCCGATAGCTTAGCTACCTTTATCTCAAGCTGAGTAATCTTTTCCTGAAGATCCGGCAAAGCAACGAGACAATTTTGTGCAGCTTCTGCATCTTTCTTTATGCTAACAAGATCATCTTGCATACAACCAATTATTCCATCAAGAACAACAATTTGGTCTTCCTAAAAAAAAAAAAAGAAATATTAGTATTTTTCTTTGACATTCACATACTCTAAATATGTTGATTTTAACACATTTCAAAGTTCCACTACCTGTGGCTGTTTTGCATCTTCACTTGCAACATTGTGTTGATCGTTTTTTTTGCACACCAAGTTTTTTAGTATTTCCATTCGTGTCTCTGCTCTCTCCTCAATGATCTCTCTCTCATTCTCAAGGCGTTCACTACAGAAATTAAGGGTTAAACAAATACGCCTGTTAAAAAAAATCTGTGCAAAAATAAATAATGAAAGGGCACTAAATGGGATTGAGACATCACTACCTGAAATCGCTTTCCATTTGCGAGTATAATTGCATGAATTCCTGGGAAACGTCTTCACGAATTCTTGATTCCAACAATAGTTTTTCTGATCTTTCTTCAACTATTTTCTTCTTTAGCTCTTCTATAACTGAAAGCAGCTTCTGAAAGTTGCAAAATCATAAACATAATTTTGAAAAACTGCATTCTATAACAAATCACTAATCTTGCAGAGACCATTTGCCTGTCTTAATATCTAGAAATAATGGGAAGAGTCACAATTATAAAATTTTAAAATATAGTAAGAAATGGAAAATTACACTGCTAAAAAATTAATCTTTATATAATTTTCCACTGGTTCTGAGGCAAGGAAAAGAAACTTACCTCATAAGATTCTTTACTTACAACAACTTCTTCTTCTTCTTCCTCCTCCTCCTCCTGGATGATGTCCTCCATAGTTTCTTCCAAGCTTTCTTCTTCTTCCTTCTCCTCACCATCATCGTTTTCTTGCACATCCTCTAAACTTGTATCCCAGCCAATTAAGGAGCTCCTTCTCTTTCTCCAAAACCTCATTTTGTCTGCATTATTAATAATGAATGACACCTCTCTGGCTGACTTCTTTGGAACAACAGGAGCGAGCTTTGTTGTACTGAGAACCACCACCTGCAGAGATGGAAATAAAGAGAGTCAATGAGCAGATGAAACTGTAATTAACTTTTCATGAGAAAAGTAAAGCCCCGTCTGTGAACAAGGTTACTTAATGCTGCTAATGTAATGGCAGAGATCAATATCAAACTCAGTCTTAAAGAAAAACAAAGATAATTAGAGGCATTTCTTTCTGTAAACATAATACCATTTTTGTAAGCACATGCAACATACTCAGTTTCTAGAACTTAAAATTATTATGGGAGGCGATACGTTGTCAGATAAATGTTTACCTTCTGAGCAAGTGCAGAAAACTTCAGTACATTCAATGTTTCATCAAACATTGAAGCACACTGGTTAATGTTCACAATCATACAAGCTTTTCCTCGGCCACAGAAAAAACCTTGAAGGTAATGGGTCAACTTGCTCTCCCTGAAGGGTACGTGCTGTAGCAGCCTAAAAACAATGCACAGTAAACACCACGAAAGACAATTTAGTAATCTTTCTACTCTTTCAATTACACATTTCTCCTTTACACTCTTCCCCTGGAAACTGTGATCCAGATTTCAGTCTCTTCAGTTTCCCTGTTCAGCGATTCTACCCATTCTCTTTTGCAGTTCTTACCTACCCACCCCTTTACCATTCATACCTCAACACCCCTGAAGAACAGTGGATTTCTTGCTTTTAAGCCTAAAAAATAACCTTTACTTGGTCCCTTGCAGCTTGCAAACCAACATAGCTCTCCAGGCTCATTTTTATGAGTATTTTATACATTAACTTTTCTAGAAAAATGCTAAAATAAAAGGTTTTGCAATTGTTTTTTCTATTTAGAGAATCAATGTTAACGGTAATATTAGGGCCAAACATTCTCCAGTTTTCAAGAATCTCTAAAAATTATCTCCTGTCTATGCAGTATGCTGTTGCCACCTTGTGGTTCAATTGAAAATAAATTAAGCATCCTCAGAAGACAGACTAGTAAGTCCTAGAGTAGCACCAATCAAATGTTTTAGCTTATAAGCAAGTAAGTACCTTTACAGATATACAAGGGGGAAAAAACACAAAACAAAGGAAACAAATTACTGAAAACACTTTAAATGTACACAAATGATCATAACTACCCAAAAGTATACCAAGTACTAGTTACGAATGATAAAACTTAGCTTCTTACTTTGACTGCTGGTTGTGTCTCAGTGCTTTGAGACATTTGCCCAAGATCAGCAAGGAGCTATTAATGTTTCCTGCTTCTTTTAAGCGCTCTCCTTTGTTCTGGGTTTTGGCACATCTCTCCGATCCAGCTAGATCACACAATGACAACCTAAAAAGAAAAAAAAGAAGGTCAAACTTTGCATTTAAAAATCAACAAAGCAAAAAAAAAAATCAGTAGCAAAAGCGACACTTACTCGCTGATATTTTGTACACGAGGTATACCAAGATCTTCAATCCGTAAGATTCTGATGGAGAAAATGCTGTGGCTTTAAAGACAAAAACAATTGGAAGAGTTCAGTCCCTTATAAGAGTGTTCCAAAAACAACATTTCCATTATTACCATTAATTGGCTGATTTCATCTAAAGAAATACTTATTTAGATCCATTTCCATGGCTAGTATTTACTCCAACTGCACCCTTCTTAAAAGATAAAAGCAGTGTCCCACCAAGCATCTGAACCCACAAGTTTCGGTTACGAGTCCAGAATCAAATACTAGTGAAGATTCCCAAAACTGTGTATAATTTTTCCATTAGCAAACACTCTACATAACAGAATGTGGAAGGAAATAATGCAATGTCCCAAACCCCCCCCCCAAAAAAAACAAGCAGTTAGAATTACGTTTTTTTTAAATAGCATTACCTTCTGCTGGACAGATGATTCAGCTTTGTGCAGGAAAAGCTCTGGTGTTTCTTCCCCAATTTTAGAACTTTATATGCCTCATCTGCATCACTCACCTGAACCCACTTGAGATCTAAAAACGTAGAAAGACTCAGGTCTTTAAGATGTCAGTTCATAAATCCTATCACATATACACCTTAAAGAGTTCTTGTCCAACATCCCCACCAGTACAGTGAAGCCCAAAGAAAAAGAAAACAGAAATACCTTTTACAAAAGGATTCCCTTTCACATCTTGTGAGAGCCGAAGAGTACTTCTCTTCATGGAATTATTTGGGATCGTTTCAAGCAAGTCATAAATGTTTTCATTATAGATTTCACAAAAAGACACCCAGACCGAGTATTTGGAGTGACTGTTCATATCCAAAGTGAAGCTTTCTGAATCCAATTCTTCTGTGTTGTTCACAGCAGTGCCTGTGAAAAAACAGAATACAAACCCAAGAGGAAAAAACGATTTCAACAACAAATGCAAGTGTCGAGTTGATTGGCAAATATTCCACATAGCTAGCTTCTTCAAGAAGTAGTATTGGGCAAAACCCTTGTTTGACTTATATATATATATTAAAAAAATCCTTTAATAGGCCTTAAAAGTTTGAACGTGAATACATACCTTCAAATATGGCTGACTTGCTGGTCGAATTCAATTGAGAAATCATGCTTTTCTGTAAATCACACTGCATAGATAAATTTAGATAAGTAACAGTATGAAGCACAGGGAATACGAAAAGGTAGTAATTTCAAAAGATTACCTCTTTTGCTAATCGCAGAATGGTCTTTTTGTTTGCGATTTCCTTCGTGAGTTGCTCTTTGTTCAGCCTCATGTATTCTCTGCATCTCTGTGGTTTAATGTCCATTTCTGTATAGATTTTATCTTGAATGTTGTTGAATATCATATTCAAAGATCTTGGCAGAAGGCCACTATTGTTTTCGGGCCCTGTAAAACCAAAAATCTTATTATTAGTTACTAAGCTACATTTGCAACCATGGATGGTTTGTAATAACAGAAATAGCACAAAAGAACGTAGAAAATCACACCTAAAAAGGTGAAGGTCTTTCCAGCATTGGTTACTCCATAAGTAAAAACAAGGGAGTTTCCCCCTTGAAGAAAGTCTTTAACTAAAGACTTGACTGTGCCATCAAAAACCTCCTTCTGTGTTGCTTCTGGACCATAAACCTGAAGAAAGTGAACATAGAAAAAACAATGAGCATGACAGTATAACAAATAATCATGAAACATTAATTTCTGGTCACATCCCTTACATCTAGATGAGAATGTTTCATGGGATAATGTGCTAGATCTGGGTTCGACAACTCACCTGTGAAAACTGAAACCGCTGGGCTGTTTGAGGAAGTGACTTATCACTGAGCCGAGATGATAAAGAGCTCCTTGGGGCCTTGAGGAACACCTTATCTGGATTCTCAATGCTAACACACTCCTGCACGTTTAAAGAAAGAAGAGAAGAGAAATTAAATCTAGAATTACAAGATTTGACACGTTACAGACGGTTACTGCTCACATTGCGAGACCCTCATGTTAAGAACTGGACACCCTTCGCTCTGCCTTTTTACCGCTTACCTGTGATTCGTCGCTGTCCATTTCAGCTTGTGTGAAAGGTCTGATACGAAGGTAAACCTGCAAGTGTTCTCTCTCCTGTAAGCTGGACTCCTGGAAGGCATATATGCACATTTTAAGAACGGTGCTTAACGCACCAGTGGAACTTCCTGAGTGGAGGACACTCTGAGCTTTCAGAGATCCTCAAAAGGCATACAACCTCAACTACAAATGAATGCCAAAACATACACAATCAAGAGGTATAAACAAGTAATCGAATGCATTGGAAACCAAAATTTTAAAATAAAGGGCAGTTACCAGCAAAAAACAAACAGCTTACACATCACCAAAGGAAGCTTATTATGCTATGAAATATATGGCACTATATTTAAATGTAGAAATTTGGAACAATCATGTCCTCCCATTTCTGTAAAAACGTAATATACTACTTTTGATTGCAAATCTGTTTAGAAAAAGGCTACGTTACAGGGCTAACTTGTCTGTTACCCCTACGCTGGGGCACAGGGCTGTTTAGCTAACGTGACAATTACCGATTAACCATGCTTAGCATGTGATAGAGATGCATCATATAACACCTTCTTAAACTTTAGGCCAACAGCAATTTAAAATGAATTAAATCAGTTCTTTTAAAAGCAGCTTACCTCAGAAGTAACAGAAGACATGGACAAAAACTCTCCAGAAAGATCTTTTTTCAAATCCTCTATACTCACAGCTTCTATTTTTTCCAATCTGTCATTAAAGCAGGATTCCATCATGCTATAAAAAATATGCAGTGCAAAAAACAGAATTTAGTTTCAAAATTAGACAAAATTATAAGGTTGCAAAATAGTGGAGACTCTCTCTCTTTTCGTATTTGGCAACTCGGTGAATGTGAAATTTTACCTAACCGATGGAGCCCAAGGTTTCGGTTTCAAATATATGGCTGGGATGCCCAAGAGTGATATCCACAACATTTTGTGTAATGCCAACACAATTACTATTTTCCATCCTAAAACAATTCCTTTTTTAGTTTCCAATTATGACCCCACGTTCCCGTTATCAAAACAGGGTATTGGGTCATAATATTTAATAACATTTATCTGAAGTACTCCCTTGGACTAACTTTTAGGGCTACATATGAATTAACCAATCTCTATTCTAGCATTGAGAAATTGTATTCCTTTAACCTCTCTGCATATGACAATTCCCTGTGAACAGGAATTATTCTCACAGGTGTGCTTTGAACTCGAGGTCAAGAATCTTTCTTTGGTATGCTGACTAAACTAAACAATATTCTAAATCAGGCATTACGAAGGCTCCGTAAAGTTGGACATAACTTCAATATTTAAATTCTACAATTTAATAAATACTCATAAATTCTGCGCACTTTTATTTCTACAATGCTTGATATTTTGGATATTGATATTTCTCCAAGTCTTGATAACAAAGACATCTATATTAACACACACATTCTTTCATGTGTAGCCTCCTGCAGATCTACAGTAAATCTATGCAAAATACTCATTGATTATTATTATTAGTGAAAATAAATAATCTCATATTTTCCCCAAATGTTTACACTTGTTTCTTATAGCTTTTTAAAGTTTTATATTAATTATCTCTCTGTGATTGCATTACACGTTTCTGCTTCACCTGTAACTCAGAATAATGTTATTAATTTTGGACCTGTTTAGGCAGACAGTAGAGAAATTTACTGCTCATAGGAAGGAAGTGTTCTCCTATTTTCTCCATTAGATGTCAGATTTTCCGAGTCCCAGACTCTGGTTTACAGATTAATATACTTTTTTTTCCTATCCACGCCCTTAAATCAAACACAAGGAGTACAGTAAATCTAAACTTGGCAAATATCCCACCCATCTAACTAGGACCTAGTTTTCGTGGAATTGAATGACCGATACATCTTTAACTATTAAAGAATTTATTAATCAAGCAGGAAAACACCCATCAGACAAAATGACACTTGACAATCAGCCAAACAAGCAGCTCACATGATAAACAATACCAATAAATTGCATCTCCCCAGAAACACCTATACACCGCAATCTCCTAAACCACTTTTACATTTAAAAAAACTTGAAACTAAAACGTAATTGCGTTGTATAAACCCTATTGGTTTTTTAGGGGTTAGAACTAAACTACTTCGGATTACCTCAAGTTGTTATTACTTGGAACGGAAAAAAATAAGTGCAAACAATTTAAAAAGTCGCAAATCATAGCAACAACCATTTATGCACAAACATGAATACTTTCTGAAATACAACCAGAAATATCACCAAACTTACACAGACAATGATTTTTTTTTCCCCCCCGAAACCTTTTATCCAAACCACAGCACTCCGTTCTTCATAAATGATCGCGGTTCTTATTTTTAAAATCAACCAATCAGGCGTCACAAGCGAAGAGGGTCATGGGAAAGGAAGCGGAACTGGAAAGACGAAATTGTTTTTCTTTTTTTTCCAATGGGAATTTGTATGGCTATGAAATACAGCTTTATAAATCATGCGTATTCGAAAAAAACCTCCAGTAAAGTCCCCAATATGATTAACTGGAGATGCAACATTTATGTTAAATTCAATTATACTGTGTTTAACAGTGTTTAGATAACAAATAATACATATGAGCGTAAAAACAATCTCTTAACTCTTACAAAACAACGAGAACTGTACACACAGCATATTCAGAAATACACTAAATGTTTATCTAATTTCTTTAAGATGGACGGTATATTACTTAGCCTTTACTACATTTCCCATGCAGCACCGGTGCGGACAATCACTTTAACCCTTGACATGAGCTCTGTGTGTCTCACGTGGAACCAACATGGCTGTTTTTGCAGATTTAAACATAAACTACACTGATGATAAAAAACAGCTTCGGGATATTATAGAAACTGCAGCACATCGTAAGTATTGTTTTCAAAGAAAAAGTTATAGATAACGAGTAACTCCCAAAAAGTACATGGTGAGAGCACATGTTTAATTTACAGATACAGACAGTTGGATGCATACATCGTCAAAGTGAGGCTTTTTTACTTAAGTCAAAAATACAACTGTACTTCGCTTTGTATTTATAAAGCTTATTTACAGTGAGCTGTTTGCTTATTCTAGTTTTCTCTCCTAAAACGTCCTAATTTTAACAGTCCCTATATTAAAGCTGGGACACTTCTTGCTATTATCCGAATTTAAAACTAGGCTCAAACCCTTTCCCATCTTTTTTTTTTATTTCTGTCTTTTCAGTTGGTTATTCCACGGTGGCAATAAATCATCTGATTGATTTACAACCAAAGAAGCAGGTAACAATCGGGGTACATTGTATGTCAATCATACACCATCAAAATATTTGCTAAATGTATGCCATTGCTGAAATCATGTTTGATTTGCAGGAAATAAGGAAACCTGCTTCTGTTGATGAACTGTTCAGACAACTCCCTGTTGTACAGGTACTGTAACGATGTTGTTGTGGTGCTTTTCTGCATTTATTAAACTGGCATAAGCGTGCTGTCATTCTGTGTACTTGAACTGAGATGGCTAAATATGATGTCAGTAAAGTCAGCTCTTTTGTAGTACAACTTTGTGTTTTACTTTGTGGAGCTTTTGAGCCTGACAAGGCTGAGCTGGATGATGGGTTTGGTTCAGAATCTGGAGCACAGTAGACACTTAACATTGACCTGTCTACATCTGATGGCCTGGGACACCTGTGGGGTAACAGCTAAACAGCTTATAAACGTCACTGAATAGAGTTCTCAAGCCAGAGTTCTTCATCTTTCCAGTTTTAGTCATGGGTATTTTGCCAATTTCAAATATATAAATGCTGCTCCTTCGTTAAAATAGTAGCGCAGCACATTTGCACTCCTAATTTCTCTCCAAGACAGACTGAAGAGTTTATAAACTAAATGTATGCTTCTTTTCTTCCTAGGGGAAATCCAGGCCAATTAAGGTGTTGAACAGGTTAACACTCGGAGTTTCTGATGCATCTCACTTTGTAAGTACAACATTTTTGCTGTGGAATGTGTTATAAATGACAGTGCATTTATAATATTATGTGATCTTAATTTTTTTTCCTTCTTTTCCTAGAGGCCTTCTGCAGATTTGAAGTATTATGACCTTGTGGCTGTGGTCCCTAAAACAGAGAAGCTGTTTCATGTATGTAGGAATTTAGCTCTTTTGTTGCTTCTAAATCACAAAAAGAAAAGGAGAAGAATACTAAATAAGTAGTACTGCTTTCAAATTATTCTTAACACAATGTTTTACTAATAATATTAAAATAGATAGGTATCCATTTTCTAAAGTCAATTGTAAACATATTCTTGATTAGAGTGTCGGTCTGGAATGCCCAGAGTTAAAAGTATTGTATTTACTGCAGCAATTTGCCACTTGATATTATTTTTTTGCTGATATCATGTGGATATGGTTTTTAGGATACTACAAATGTTGACAGATATAATAACACCCCTCTTCACATCATTTGGATTTTGGTAGCCTGACAGCCATTGTCAGAAATGTACCTACTCGTGATATTCGTGTGTTAACAGGCAGCCTGCATGACATTTGATGTTGACATAATCTGTATCACTGTCACGGAAAAGCAGCCTTTCTTTTTCAAAAGACCTCCCGTAAATGGTGTAAGTACATTATACCGTACCTTGTCAATTTAGATAATTGCAGAATTCTTGTTTTCAAATCTGTGTGTGCCTGATTAATTAAAAACATTCCAACTTTGGATTATCTCTATTTTGAATACATTGATACTGTATATTGGATAAAAAATAATTTGGCTAGGAGTCAATTGGAAGTACTAGTTGGAAAAGGCAAGATGGGAGAAAATCACAAAATTTCAAGTTTTTTAAATTTAAGCATTTTTAAATATTTCAGTTATTAATTCAATGGATTCTGGACTAGGGTATTTGTCAATATAACACATGCAAATTACAGCCTTACATTTGGTTAAAATATGTTTTTGCTTTCCAGGCAATAGACAGAGGAGTGTTCTTTGAGATCACTTACACCCCCGCTATTAAAGACTCTACCATGAGAAGATATACAATCTCAAATGCACTCAGCCTGATGCAGACTTGCAAAGGAAAGGTATTTATTTCAGGGAGCATTGAAATATGTCAAAATGCTGTGTCTTTGTGAGCACAAATTTTAAAATATGCATGTTTGCCTAACAAAGACAAGTGGTGACAAGCTAATTGCTTTACTTTTTACTTTTTTTTTGGTTGCAGAATGTCATAATATCCAGTGGAGCAGAAAAGGTATTTTCTATAATTCATTTCTCTTCCTATTACAATTTCAGGAACTACTGGCATTTTTAACTCAAATGCTATAAAATACTGTTAAATGCACATTCCTTCACACATTGACATTTATAGATAGACACTTTATTTGCCTTTGGCTTCTCCCACAGAAGTACAAACACAAGCAAAACATAAGAATCACATAAAGTCACATGAAATCACAAACAACAATATGTAATACATAAATAGTTGAATAAATAAATAGGTAGAGGGGGGGATACATTTACATACCTTCATTGATATAACAGAGGGGACAAAGGACTTCTTATAAATGATTTTATGTGATTTTGGTCCCCTGTGGCGTCTCCCTGATGGGAGGATTATGAGCTGAGAAAGGAGTGGGTGTGTGGAATCAGCTGTGACTTTCCTTGCCGTTCTGAGAACTGCGTTATGATGTAATTCGTTGAGCTGGGGCGGCTGTTTCCCAATTATTTTTCCTGCCATTTTCACAATTCTGGACAGTTTGGTTTTGCTTTTCAGCCCCAGGTTTCCATACCAGTCTGTTATGTTAAATGCCAGGCCGCTCTTGACAAGGCTTTTATAATGCCATCTCTAGGAGATTTTGACTAACATTAAAGTTCCTGAGTCTTTGGATTCAAAACACCCTCTATCTTGCTTTCTTAAAAATATTGTCTATGTTCTCAGTGTAGCTCAGCCTCAGATCAATATGCGTTCCCAGATATTTAAAACTCTCCACAACCTCTACGGACTGACAAGAACTATTGTCTGCAAAGATTGCCCTCCGCTGGTCTAAGCATTGAAAAGAAGCTCTTTAGTTTTGCCACATTTATTTCCAGTGTGCGGGATTGGTACCTGTTTTCAAGGATACTGATGTTTTTAAAGTAAGTTTGCTCACCCAGATGTTGGTCCTTTAAACGGAGTCCCACGAAAACCATGTCATCTGCATATTTAATCAGACTGGCTGTGTACTTTGAATCTTCACCTCATTAGTATATATTGAGAATAAAAAAGGTGACAGTACACGTCCATTCAAGGCGTCTCTCTGAGGTCGATCTGTAAGGGAATCTTTGATCCAGCATATAACATTCCCATTTGAGTCACACAGGCGTTGTAAGAGAGTATGAACTTGCATGGTGTTAAAAGCAGGGCTAAAATCGATTAAACGAGCTAACGCAAAAGAATTTGAGTGTTGAAGATGCTTGGCTATGGAATCAATTAATGTAAGTGTTGTGAACCCCTACACAATATAGGGACCAAAGCAACAAAAGGACTACAGCACCAGGGCTATACTTGACAAGGAAGGAAATGGGGTATGAGCAGTAAAGTACACAATAGATGCTGACAGGCTAGTTCAGAAGCAGAAGCTAGTGAGAGATGGTATACTTCTAATGGTTGGTGGTAGTAAAGCTTCTCTTCTAGACCCAAACAGGTGACCAGCAGGAGCCTAGAGAGAGATAAGAAGGTGTAAATTTGTTATCCAGCCCTGGAGGAGCAACAGGGCCAAGAGTACAAAAAGACTCATCTTTTGAGGCTGTAGGACTATGTTGCTGCTTGCTGTGTCTAGCCTTCCTTTAAATGAGTTTTGTAAGACTCTTTTTTTCTCGTGCTTTTTCATTTTTACCATTTAACATATATTATCTTTTTTTCCCACAGCCTTTGGACTTGAGAGGACCTTATGACATTTCTAACCTGTATCCTTGTGTTAAATATTTGTGGTATCAATTACTTATGCTAACATTTGAAATTTGTATGTAAGCTAATTTGTGAGCTTAATGTGATCTTCAAAATGAGGGGAAAAAAGAGGCACATCCAAAGGTAATGAGGTGTTGTCCAACAGATATATATATTAGAAACAATTAAAAAAACACTATATACACTATGATATAAATTCCATTTTGATTTCTATGACTTGGGCAGGTGTTCGACACAGAATTGCACTAGTCAGGGTGTTCAGATGTGTCTCCAAAGAGGTCAGGTATAAGACTTCTGCAGTGGCAAAATGCTGAAGTCAAATCATAAAGGAGTTCAAAGTGTGAATCATACATTTTCTTAAGATTTTACCAAAACATTCAAAAAACATAAAATTTACAAATGAGGAGGGGGCAGTACAGCCCATCTATCCGATTAGGTTGCTAATAATTAATTGATTCAAGGATCTCATACAAATGTTTCTTGAAAAAAGCATGAGATGGGCTACAACAACATTTTCCACTCCCACAACCCCTTCCATGTAAGAAGAAGTTACCTGTTGTTCTCAGTTGTAAACATGCTGCCCTGTAGTTTCTCTGTTAATTCTGAAAGCATCCATGAGGTTGACTTATTTAGTTTTATATTTAAAATTGTGACAACGATGCAATAAAGCAAGGTGTAAACACATAACATATTGTGTATCTGAAATAACCAGTGACAAAACATCCTTTAATAGCCTGGGGATAGATCTTACATGTAATTACCATTTGATCATTTGATATTTATAATGCCTCTCTTTATAGAGATCCTTACAGCAGTCCAGCTGAATGATGTTCAGTTCTGTAAATTAACTGGTATTCCACTGAATTGGACAGGAAATGCATTCTTTGGCACCATGTTGAGAACTACAGAGCAGATAACATTTCTAAATTTAAAAGAAGATTAAATCTAAAAGAAGACACAGAGTCTGTGTATGTAAGTGTGTTGTATGTAGCCAAAGTGTACCCTAAGTGCATAAAAAAGAGACCTACAATGAAGTACAATTTTTGTTGATTGTACTGATATATGTCGCAGTTTAGAGAGACATCATTAAAGTGAAGGTTTCATATGTGTGAGCCTAAATTTGTACGCTCAGACTGTTGTCAAAATATGCTTAAAGAGTAGGTAACCTCTTCAGTTATCTGATTGAGGCAGGTATTACACTATGGATATGACTTCATGATTATAATTTCTAGCCCTAACAGTGGTGTATTGGTTAAAAGTCAATATTTCACTGAACAATTTGCAGTAGCCTATTTGTCCTCTGAAATTACAGTCTTTCAGCAACCTGTGGTCCAATGGTAGTGTCAGTATGGAGCAGGGATCTGTGTCGGCCTACTGTCTACAATGGGACCAATCTCTACTGTCTGAGTCGGTCTGGTTTCTGAACCAGAATCAGGCTGATTTATTTTTACAGCGTTTCTATAACCTCACAGTTGTTCTTTTCAACTGATGTCAGTAATGTTTTGCACTGTTTCTATGGATCCTTAATGAAGTTCCCAGGGGGTTGGTGTTTGGCCTGTCTGAAGGGGACGCCAAGGCCGCAGTCTCTACCAACTGCAGAGCTACGCTTCTGCATGCAGGTAAAACCTGCTGGCATTCGGGGGGTGCTGAATGTGTAAGAAGACCCTGAGTGTCTGGGGGGTTTTCTACCGGTAATGGCCTAATTTTTAGAAGAGGCTGCTGAAAAACAGAAGGACAGTATTGATACAAAAAAAAATTGTGATAAAGCATTTAGCAGTATTTGGCCAAAAAAAAACAAATTTGTCATCTTTCATTTTCAGAAACCAGGAAGACGGCACTTGGTGTAATCCACACCATAAAGAAAACTCAGACAGTGGAGGAGGACCAAGAGCAAGAGGCTCCAGCGTCAAAGAGGGCCAAAACAAAACATGTGTAGTGGGATTCAGAGTGAGGATAAAACCCGTTCTGGATGATCACGTCGGCAGCCTCTTGTACTGAATTATGACATGTACAGTGTTTGCAGTGACAAACGCCACTGAGTGATATGGGCAAATGACTTGTAATTTACAAAAATGGACAAATGTTTGTAATCCAGTACTATGGTTCATCAGATGTCCATCAGGTGTTGAGATGTTTTTTTGTAAAGAATGGGTTTCATTATTTTGCAGTCTGTTTTTTTTTATACAAGCTGCAAAATGTTTTAGTATGATAATCTGAATTCTCAATGGACTGAGACACCACCAAACTTAAGTTTTCATTGTTTAATACCTTAGATGGTGTAAAATGCTTGTAAGCTGCACATTTTTGAAAAACGTTTGAATGTGCTTTTCTATAGAAAAATAAAATACAGATACATATTAAAACTGCAGTGCTGTTTATTGTCATCACAATAAATAAGCAAAATTTACATATAAACTTTACATGAAGTAGTATAAAAATACATTGGGTACAGTAAGTGCATTACTTTCCAAAGGCCTTGTCATTGCAAAGCCCATTAAAGTCTTCTCTTCTCCAACGTCCTCTCTTCCAGCTTCTACATTCATTTTCACTTTGACTGTCACTCTCCCTTGTTTTCAACAATGATTTTAATGTGAATGAGACATTTCAGGGTTCATAATGATTCTGTTAGGATCTATTTAAATGTAACAGTAATCACTGTAAAAATAAGTAACCAGTTTTGGAGTTTCACTTTGGTGTAAAAGTGTATTCTTTTTAAAGAAAGCTTTAGCAGAGGAGAGATTATCACAATCACATTATCCATCTTATTTTCTTCGTGGAAGGTTCTTACATGAAAGCCATTTCGTTACGGCATTGCCTTTCCTTGAATTTATATAGACACAATCCAAAACCTTCATTTATCAGCAGGTACTCGTGATTTTGAAGAAACAAATCGGCCACAAGGTTAGTCTTTATAAATCTCACAGACGGCCTGTTGTTTCATAGCCTGCCTGTCAGTCGATAAATGTGGAAGCAAGTCTCGCATGTAAATTGTTTGGTTTTTGTAGGTGCTCCTAATGCTTTTAGTGTTAACCAAGTTGCAACACAACAGAGTCTTTGTAGGCAGGAGATCTGATGTTCACTGCCACGCATTGCTTTATACAACTTATGGCTCTTCTGTATGGCTGTTCAAGATGTGTTTTGTTCCACTCTGCCACTGAAGTACGCTCTCCAGGGGGGTTTTCCCTTCCTAAGGAATTGCAAGCAATACGTAAATGTCATGATCTGGCAATTTCATCCTCTGCTTTCTGAGAAAAGTTGCTCATGATGCCACTAGATGGCCCACTATTCTTGCAATTCAGGCACTCAGTTCAAGTCAGCAGTAAAACTGGTGTAGATGACACTTAGGTTTTTAAATTTATATGCCACAAAAACCCTACACAGTACGCTATAAGTAACACTATACCCTTACGCTGTTGATTGAAAGCTGAGTTGTGATTTTAGATTGATGTGATAAATCTGCATTTAAACATGAGGTTCAACAAAAAGAAATATAATGTTAAAAATTGATTAATTTTACAGTCTCTCATGGTACAGTAGGTTTCTGTTCATGTTTTGATGGTTATGGAATTGTATCCCAGGTTCTTGTGAAGAGTGGTTTCCTAGGATGAAAGCCGTATATTGAAAGAGAGGCGAATGGCATACTGTACATTGCCCTTCCCAGTCTTTGTTTTACTGAAAAGGATCTTGCAAATAGACAAATCTAATGTGTGTGCCACAACCTCTTGAGACTGCTAGCCAAAGCCCTATTTTACAGTGTGACCCCTTAAAAAGGTCCATGCATGCAAAATATAACCGAGACACTGTGGTAGAGGAACTTTCTGAATCAAATCTAGAAAAGAGAAGGTTTTACTTACGCAGTTCTTTACGTTCAGGTTGGCTCCGTAGATAAGCAGTAGCCTGATTAATCTGTATCTGTTTAATCTCACAGCATCGTGCATTGGTGTATCTCCTTCCTGCAGAGAGAGAAACCAAATATTTTTATTGTGGTTCTCACAAGGAATAAAAAAGTAGCTTTCAGGCATATGAACAAATACTGTATTTAGTATATTTTGATGGTACTTACTAAATCTCGGGCGTTGATGTCTGCTCCACATGCAATGAGGTGTTCAGCGCACTCATAATGTCCAGTTCTGACTGCAACATGCAAAGGAGTACTACGCAGCTAAACGGTAAAGAAGACACACAATTGATAAATATATCGGAACTGAAGTGTACTTCTTTGAAAATAACAGGATTTTAAAGTAATTTATGCCACTTGCTGAAGGTACTGTGCCACAACAAAAATGTATTTTTGACTTCAGTAAGCTCAGTACTGAGGGATCGCTGTACCTTGTCTCTGGCATTGAGATTCCCATTTTTGTTCAGCAGTATTTCCAAAGCTGGCAAACACCCTCCTCGACATACCCAGTGGACAGCAGTGGATTCCAGCTGTTTTGAAATACAACATGATTTTTGTTCTCCTTCTATAACTACAGTGAAGTGCATATAAACAAACAGACTGAAAACAACACTGACAAGATTAAGATTAAATTCGTATCCCTTTTTAAAGGGCCTGAAAAAAATAGTCCATTAACATACCTTATCCTTTTTCTCAATCAGAGCTCCAGCATCTAATAGTCTTTTCACAACTTCCACATGACCTTCTGAGCATGCTCTGTGCAAAGCCGTTCTTTCAAACTGAGGAGGAAGCAAAATGTAGGACACGTGTTTAACTCCAAGATCTCCATACATTATCAGAAAGTCATCTGATAAGAGTTGTAGAACCTAGGAGGAAACTTATTCTGGAGTCACAGGGCACTAGGCAATGTCAAAGATGTGTTTACTTACTAATTCCTACAGAATGCAATGCTAACCTTATGTATGTCATGTCTGTATTTTTGTTTTATTTCAACGTGAGGACTAACCTTGTCATAGACATTGGGATCACCACCATCGGCAAGATATTTGTCAATCACTGGTAATTTGTTCTCCACGGCTGCTTTCAAGAAAGTTGCTACATCCACTGTGTCTGGCTGGAAAAAAAAACACATTTTAAAGAGTCAATTAAAATGTCATGTAGTTATACATGCTTTGGATTTGCCATGCTATAACAGGGACACCTACAATACAAACCACATAATGAAAGAAGGGGCATTAATGGAAACTCATTGGCAATGGATTTGTCACTAAAGCAAGAAAAGTGCAACACGCCGAAATTAGTGTTTGAATCCAACACTCAGATTCAAGAGCCAGATAAAAGTTATCCTCTTTATAAACTGGGCTTAAACAACCCAGCTGTTCTGCATTGGGTTCTTGAGTTCTTATACAGTGGGACCTATCGGATCAGGTTTTGCTAAAATGTTGTAATAACTGGAAATTTTGAGTTGGCAACGGCTTGCAAAAATATAATTAAAAAGGATTTAAAAAAATAGGTTTAATAGTCCCACTTGGTATCTCAGTACTTCTTAATCTGAAGATTATAAGTGTTTACTGATATTTTCTGTGAATAATAAGTTGCTTTTGTTTGTTTTGCTATACAAACAAGGCTCCCAATCACCATCCAATATTTCCTTCTGGATAGGAAATGTTGTCTAAAGCAGAAGAACTGTTCTTACTATGATTTCTGGCTCCGGTTCCTTGTTGAGAGCTGGCACTCTCTTCACTCTCTTTTTCTTCTTTAGCTTGACAATGCTTTGAAGGTCATCCAGAGTTTCAAGCTTCAGTTCATGTGCTTTATATATCTGTGAGAAAATGTGAGATTTTTTTAATTGGAAGGCAAATGGTTTATTTTCTGCAGGCATTTAGCACTGCATACAATGCAAGGTTTTATGTGGAAAATATGTGGGTATATTCAGGGATTATGCCTACCTTAATTTCTTTCTCTTTTTTCTCCCTTTTTGCAATGTCATTCTGTATCAACGACAGGCCTTCATGTGATTTAAGATCATCTTGTTTTTCTCTGGTGACAACAGACTCATATTCTCCCTCTGCGAACTCCTCCGTCAGGCCCTCTCCAGTCTCTTTGCCCTCACATTTTTTGCCAGTGACCTAAAGCAGGAAGCAACAATTAATCTCACAAGAGCTGTCTTTTAGAATGTAATGTAAGGCAATGAAGGTACACATGGTAACCTGTGTGTCTCGTGTTGTGCACCAAACACATCAGTGACATACCGTAACAAGTGTGTGAAGTGAAGTGCTTAAAAGTCAAAGTTAATCTGCGTTATACTATAGTGTCTCCCATTTGATCTGAAGAGTAATGTCTTTGCTCTGCAAGGTGATTACCCACAAACACAATAGTATTCCTTTAAAATGAACAAAGTATGGACACAAATTTACTGTCAATCTGAATCCTGGGAAAAGTGTTCATAATTAAATGTACTGTGATGCATTTGCAGTGCTGTAATGTGGGAATGGTTTGGAATCATGTGCAAATATGTTAGCATGGTCATCTTGTATTTCTATTTTGATACATGTTAATAAAGCACAGAAGACCAATAATGTATTTTCCAGAAGCGTTTGCAATAATTTAGTTATATCCACCATGTTTTAAGACATGCATTTTAAATTATTTGGTTTTTAATATTTGGATTTTAAAAGTTAACTCAGTTTAGAAAGTACTTCTTGTTTTTTATGGCTGTTATGCACTAAAATGAAAATCAATTAGTCATCATTTCCTGGACTTTAAGAGTAATATGTTTGGCCAGGTCATCCACCCATAGATAATAATAAATGTCTTCACTTAAGTTAATTCAATGCTTTGGGTACTCTTATAATCATGCATTCAGACAGGCCAGCAAAAAAGATCTATCCATCTATTTAGAGAATAATGAATCACAATCCCTCTCATTCTATTCAACAGATTAAAGCCACCAGTTTTAGCTGGATACTCATTAATGCTAATTTATCGCAAAACTAAGTACACACTCTAATTTATCCAATTGATAAAAACAGACATGAAACTGTTTAGAATATTCATAAATGGACCACACCTTAAACCACACGATGATACCTTATAAACAAATGGACTGGCAAATCATTCCCAAAACATAATGTAGTCCTCCTTGTGTGAATATCAAACATGAGTCTCTAACATCTTAGGATAATAATCTCACACCTACCAGCTCTTCAACTCTTAGCATCCCCATGTTGTCAGCAGCCTGTAGTACTCCTTGGTTAGTGCCAATATCCCAAAGCGATCAGTTTCAAGTCTCTACTGCAGTGCTGCAGACAAGCTTGACTTATATATGTTTGGTGCAGCTAAAGAATGAGATCATGTTCCAACCTGGGCAGCAGCCTCTCCCATTTACTGATCAAGGTGTCCTGTCATGCTTGGCATAACATCAGGCTTGGTCTGATGTCACAGGGTCTTGTTAAAAAAAAAACGATATCCCAGGCATCCTCAAAGCTCCTGTCCCAATAGCATGAATCAAGATGAAACATGAGATATGCTACCATTACTTGTGACTAAACAGGCCAGCAATGCAGAGCCTCCTTTCCTTCTCTCATGCTTACCAGAACAGCTGTCCATCAGCCCTGACACATAGGGCTGAGCTCTGGATTGTTCAGGGATAAACTTGGAAAAGGTACATGACAAGGGAATGTTATGGCACTATTAATAAAGAAGCAGTGGTCATTGACTCCCATTAGTTCTCTATTTATAATAGTCAACAAGATGTTTTGCTAATATCCTTCCAACACATAATGACATCATTGGCTAATCTGTTATGCTTCCTGTAATGGTTCTGTCTTCACTTTCATTCCTTTGGTACTGATGAAAAAATGAATTACCAATTTATCTTTCATGGAGCCTCTGTGGAATCGTATGTTGTATTGAATTACATGTGCTGTTATACATTCACCATCTGAAATTTAACACACCCTTGTAGCCTTGTAGTGTGCTGGAGATACGATAAATGGAAAAGAAGCTAAGGATCTCCTTCTGAACAGTTCTGTTAAGTTACTTTAGCGAGCTAAATACGGGCTTACTGGCAATAACAAAGAACGACATGAGTGGTAGTTTTCAAATGTATGATTCCATTTGCTAGTAATTCAATTTACTCAACAGAAAAATAATACCACAACATATTTTCTCTCCTGCTTCATAGTTTATCCTGGTAATCTCAAATGTATACTGGGTACTACATTGCATAATTTAGTGTCTAATGTAAAGCCTTTCAGCAATAATACAGACCATTCAAAACCAATTTTTTGTAGAACAATTGTCTGAAGAATGGTGAGTGTACAACCATTCTGTTGAAGACTATTCACACAGATGTTTGAGACACATATGTTTTTTTTTTAATTTTTCTTAATAGATGTTTTCATTCATTTAATTAAATTCCCGGATACACCTTATTTTCTGTCCCTTCCTTGGACACATCCTAAATTGGAAAAACAAATGGAATGCATTTTTATTGTCCATATTATATCACAAAAGATTAAAGCACTCCCAGACCTTTCTATCCAAACCTGGTTGGGTGTTTCTTTCAAAAACACACACTAGCTCTCAGGGGGTGCTGCTTTAGGAAATGGGAAAAGAAAGTGTGATTTGTTTTTATGATGCATGTTTAAATGGAAGTAGCTACTTAGAATTACCTACTACACTCACTGGAGAAAATTTAGAAGTAACAAGGACAAGCAACCGGGAACAACAATGTTGAAGTGCCAAGAAGTCACACAGCTCTTTTGATTTTATCTATGAAAATAAAGAAGAAACTCGAGAGCTTGATACTCAATGCTTGTGCACACAGATGAGGATTCAAGAAGGAAACATTTTCTGCCATTCGTCTTAGTTTATACCTGTAGCAAGGACTGTCTAAGAAAAGGTAGTTGTTCAAACTGCTTCTCTTCAACATATACTTAGATAAAGAGTCCCATCTACAGGTAAGTGCTAATAAGATTTTTTCTGTGGGCAGGAGGGGTTTTGCCCTGCAATAGACAACAAAGTTTGTTCGTTTAAGTGGCATTCTGCTATAGTTAGGATCATAGTAAAAGCTGGCCAACAGTTATTATTATATCAGGTGGGGATCTGCGTCAGCATGCGTAGGCTGCAAAGGAACAAGTAATTGGTTTATTCCATGCTGAAAAAAAGAAGAAAGAAAACACGTTTCGGCCATGGAGCCTTCTTCAGGTGTCATAAACCTGAGAATAAACCAATTATAAACCTATTACTTGTTATTATTATATTATTAGAGGACTTAAGCAGTTTAAGTAATCTGTTCAGTGTAGCCATGTGCTACTTCTACGTGTTTATAGATTTAAAAGAAGGTTATGAGAAATTCCAGAATCTAAAGTAAAGTTTGAATAAAAATAATTGACTGATGCAATCATTTGATCTACGATTAGTAGTGCAAATCCAGAAGCTCAATGTGCCCTCAAAATATATGACACTATGGCTTTTCCTGAGTTAGGCTGTTTCTAAAGTAGCTCTCATTCCAAAATAATCCTGAGATCAGAAGTGACACGATTAATCATTGCTCTTTAAGTACTCAGTGTCAAAGAGTAGTGTATGACTTAAGATATTTGTAAAGCTGTTTCTCTGATTTTAAGAAAAAGTAAGTGAGAAATACAAGCTTTTGTTACACTAAAGTTTCATATTGAAAACTGGACTGCTGTCAAGAGGTCAGAACATTCTGACTTGTTATAAACTAGCAGAATTAATTCACAGATGAATATGTATTAAACTGTTCTCAATATGTTAACCACATTTAACCAAACTTTTGCTAACCAGCTAAACAAGAGCAGCATTTTGGAAATTCACCATTTATAAATGTTTGCTGTGTATTAAGTATGATGGGAGTTTTAAAAAATTATACTGTTGTAATACCGTGACAGAATAAAATGAGTCCTTGTGTCATATGAATAACATCGGCCACTTGTTTGGGATGTTGGCACAAGTGTGATATGACTTGTGCTAGGATGGTAAATTGGATGAAAAAGACATAATACTGCCATGCATTTTAGGATATATAGTAATGCTTTCTTTATGAATTGTTTAAAATATGCCATAATTTAATGAAAGCTAATTAATAATTGCCTTTAGTAAAGTGGCAGTTAGTGTTTCTGCCTCAGAGCTTCAGGACCCTGGTTGAGATTCTGCCTGAGACATCTGTCAGCATGTTGTTTACATGATAATTCTGTGTTCTCATGAGTTTTCTTTGGGTATTCTTGTTTTCTCCAACCTTCCAGAGAAAAGCTGGTTGGGAATGACTACTCTAAATTGTAGTCAGAAAAACTGGCCTTTTCACCCTGGTATTGTGAAGGATGGTATCTACCCCGGATAACAACTTCGAAATAACTTTGAAATCCATGCCAACATTTAGGCTTTTAAGAAGCTCAAGGTTCTATCATTGGTAAAACTAAAGACTGTCTCGTTCAGCTTTGCCCTGTCTTTCAGAGGCATCCTTCTGCTTCAATGCTGGGTCACATTAAACTCTTATTGCATCTCAAACCAGCTGAAGACAGACCCAGCTGCAAATGTCATTCAGTCCTTAACAATTTCTTGGTTTTCATTTCCATACTAGAAAACCCTACATTGTGTAATAGCTGTGTGGGAGCACAAAGAGCTCAGCTGGCAGCACCTAGCAATCTTTGTCCCAGTTTTGCTTACTGGTGCTATTAACTTATACAACAGGGATTAAAAGGGGAGACAGTCCTGTTGTTATTTCATCACACAATGTATTGCAACAATCACTTCCTAGGCTTAGGAAGCTGTCCGGGACACATGCGAGTTTCAATAATATGCACAGTGCAGCTGTTCCTCTCTGGTGCCATTGGTCTGAGCTCCTCACTGCGGTGAGAAAGAAATAAATAATTATGTTACCAGAAGTTAGGCAGAGCACTGGTTGCAGTGACCTGAACAGCTGCTGCTCCTTCTGTAATATATCTACACTGAGAATGCATGTGATGCTCATTTGAAACATTCAGAGCTCCATCTGTGAGGCATCAGTGGCAAGCATTGAAGTCCAAGTGCTGATCAGAGCATGTATCCGTTTTCATGTCTCTGGAGCCTTCATGGCAAGTCCTTCAGATTAGTGAATTTACATTGCCTGTGTTATCTTTATGTCCATCAAATTTCTAAGCACTCACTTTCATCCCCAGAATCAGATGCCCTGCGACACGTGCAGTAAGAAAGGTTAATGCCCATGTGCTGCAGCTGAAGGGTGTCTGAGCCAAAGTTAAGTAGCAATCACAGGAGCAGGTGAATCTCAGTTAGGCATCCATACTATGAAACAATCCCTTTGCGTTGGTTAAAAATATATCGTCATCTCATGATCCAAATTTAGTAGGAGAGGAACACAAACAAAGAGAGTGACAGAGGAGGCATAATAGTAAATGTCACACAGGGGAATTGCACACATACAGCAGAGGAATGCACCATGTGAGCTGAATGAGGAACACAAAGAGACACATTTTCCAGGAATTCACTGGCAGTGTACCATGTGGACATGTGACCATACCTGCAGCAAAAACTGCAGTTTGTCACATGACCAGAGTGAAGGAGATTCTGGACACAACACTTACTGACAGCCTTAAAACACAAGGGAACTTCAGTCCCCCAAGTTCAAAGTCAAATGTAGGAGGAGAGGGACTGGAACAGGGAGGAGATATCAGCAGCACAATTATGTGCCCCTTCAGCATGGATCAGATCATTATCGCTGAATAAAAAAGCAATTTGAAATACAAAAATGTAGTCACAATTTGAAACATTTGAAATGTTTTTTGTAAGGAACAGAAAAGCTTACTCTTTGCAAACGTACATTCTACCTACATAGGAAGTGAACATGACACAACAGCTGAGACAACACTGTTCACACTCTGCACACAAAGCAGAAGTAGAAACACTCCCAAAATTTACATGGGTGTAAATTTACAGGAGTTCACCTGGTTTATCTCCCCATTCACTGAAACCCTGCTAAATCAATATTTTTTAATTTACCTAAACACTGAGGTCATGAGTTATTTATTTTAGCCAAACTGCCAAACAAAGAGTGGCTGAATAGTGGGTTTTCAATAAAAATGTCTTGTTCGCAGCTCTGACTCCTATACATAGGACAGAAGTGCTGTTTATTGACCCTGTTTTAAGATTAATGTATGCTTTCATGTGTGTGCTTACTGTGCAGGTCTCAGCGGGGTGTTTAAAGGTCACTTGCAGGTGAGTTGTTAATTCTGCCATCTTTTCTTTCAGTGGGATTTACATCTTGTTGTACTAGAAATTGTCTACGAGAATTTCAGTGATATGTGTCTCAAATTTAATCTACTGTATTAATCTTTATTAG